TCTGCCCCCAGTTTGGTCCAATTCTCAAATTCAGGGTCGTGTCTCCTTGGTGGTATTTCAATGTTCTGCCAATTTTTCCTGAACTCACAGCTTTGGTTCTGGATGTAATCACAATGTCGGATCTTCAGAAGCTTTTGAATAGTGTGGGCATCATATTTGACTTTCTTGCCTCTCACCCAACTAACAAAATGCCTCTTACTACCCTCATCACCATTGTAAGCATTGGCATGGAATTCCCGTGCTATAGCCGGGCTGCTGTCTACCAGAATCTCACCAAAGGTTACCCATTCCCTAGTCTGCAGCTGGGACTTGAACTCCGGGTACTCATCCTTCTCCAAGATGAATTTCCTCTCCCTAACAAATGGCCTGGAAGAGGTCTTGGCAGTGTAACGGGCCTCATGATCCGCACTCTTCCAGAAATGGGCATCAAAGGCAGGAGGAGGTGGTGTGGGTTCAGATGCCTGAGACACCCTGGACCTCTTCTTTCCAGTCTTCTTAGGTGGAGGTGTAGACATGATCCTGAAAAATCAAGAAGTAGTCAGTATATCATTCAAACATGTGGATCCAATTCCCATATTTAAAATTGAGAATGGATGGAATTAGATCCAAAATCATGTGAGTAAACACCCCCACAATGCTAAACTCAGCAATCAATAGCATGTATGCAGCAAGGCCTGGGTGCTAAAACGGTCACACTGAGCGTTTTAGCGTCCTGGCCTTATGCGTGTGTTAAAACTGGTCGAGCGCTAAAACATTGCTGACAAGCGTTTTAGCGCTCGAGCAATTTCTGGGTCAGGCAATATCACAAACACCTTGTGTGCCTGTGTGAAACTTCATTTGTGTAGAACGTTTGGGGATGCCTCTTTTCCCCAAAAAAATATGGAAAAACAACATGAATCCACATACATGAACATACATTAACCAAGATAAACATGTAATTACAAATGTAGTTCATGAATTCAAATTGTGGAAACCCTAGGCAATATTAAATAAAAAAAATTATTCAAAACGATGGGAAAGAAGAAGATATGGATACATACCTTGTTATGATTATGAGGAAGTGAAGGAGTGAATGGAGAAGTGAGATGCAGAAAAATTCGCGAGTTGGAGAATAGGAGAGCAAATGAAGTAGTGTGAAATGAGAGTGAAGAAAAGTGAGGGAAAACCGTGTATTTCAAATTAAGTGACAGGGCGCTAAAATGTTGAAACCAAAACGTTTTAGCGCCTAGGACCAGAGAAATGTGCACACGTTGTGTGCAGCATCGCGCTAAAACGGTCACCAAGGACGTTTTAGCGCGCTGGACCAGAGTGCTTGCAACTGATGCATTGGGGAACGCTAAAACAATCAGTATGAACGTTTTAGCGCTCATGGCCAGAGAGTTTCATTGTGATGCAACTCTTAGAACGCTAAAACGTCCAGAATGGAAGTTTTAGCGCCCAGCACTTGTAAAAAAAAAAAATTCTTAAATTTTTTCAAAACTTTTCCCTCTTCTCTTCTTTTTTTTTAATTGGTATCAACATAAATGTTACATACCTGATACAGTGGGTTGCCTCCCACTCAGCACGTGTTTAACGTCGCGAGCCTGGCGGGTATGATCTAGCTTACCTCTAACAAGGCAACTGAAATCAGTTGCCTATCCACAGCACATCCGATGTAAAGTTTCAACCTCTGACCGTTTACAGTAAAACTCCGGTCAGAATCCCAAGAACAAATTTCCATCGCTCCATAAGACTTCACGCTCTTAACCACAAATGGTCCAGACCATCTGGACTTCAGCTTCCCTAGGAACAATTTCAACCTGGAGTTGACCTGGAGTTGAATAGCAGCACTTGATCTCCCACCTGGAAATCCCTAGGTGTGATTTTCTTGTCATGCCATAGCTTGGTCTTCTCCTTGTATAGGCTGGCACTCTCATAAGCAGACAGACAAAATTCATCCAGTTCATCCAATTGCAGTAGTCTTTTCTCACCTGCTGCTTTAGAGTTAAAGTTTAAGAACTTGACAGCCCATAATGCTCTATGCTCCAATCCAACAGGCAAATGACATGATTTCCCAAACAACAACTGAAATGGAGACATTCCAATAGGGGTTTTGAATGTTGTCTTATATGCCCACAAAGAGTCATCAAGATTCTTGGACTATTGAGTCCTAGCATTCCCAACAGTCTTCTCCAGAATTCTTTTAAGTTCCCTGTTGGAAATCTCAACCTGACCCCAAGTTTGTGGGTGGTACAGAGTACTTATTTTGTGCCTTACTCCATACTTGGCAAGAACAGCTTCAACAAACCTGTTATCAAAATGGGTTCCCCCATCACTTATTATGGCTCTTGGAACTCCAAATCTCACAAATATGTTCATCTTTAGAAATGCTATCACAACCCGAGCATCATTGGTCTGCGTGGCTATGGCTTCAACCCACTTTGACACATAATCAACTGCCACCAGGATATACTTGTTAAAGTAGGAAGAGGGAAAAGGTCCCATTAAATCCATACCCCAAACATCAAAGATCTCCACCTCCAGTATATTATTCAAAGGCATTTCATGTCTTGTGGAGATGTTACCAGTCCTCTGGCAGTTGTCACATGTTTCCACATACTTTCTGGCATCCTTGTACAATGTGGGCCAGTAGAAACCACTCATCAAAACCTTGGCTGTTGTTCTCTCACCTGCAAAGTGACCACCATAGGCTGAACCATGACAATGCCATAAAACACTCTTTTGCTCCTCTTCTGGAATGCATCTTCTGATTACTCCATCTGAACATCTATACAAGAGGTATGGTTCATCCCAGATGTATTTCCTCACATCATTCAGAAATTTATTCCTCTGTTGGTAAGTGAAATCCTTTGGCATGGCTCCAGCAGCTCTGTAGTTAGCAAAATCAGCAAACCATGGTGGGGTGTTAACAGACAAGACTTGATCATGCACCAACTGGGAAACAATGCTTATGGCCAGTATTTGCTCATCAGGAAACTCCTCCTTGATCACCACCTCTGGACCCTCTTATAGATGTGTCTCTGTGATCCTAGATAAGTGATCAGCTACCAAGTTCTCCACTCCCTTTTTGTCTTTGATCTCTACTTCTAATTCTTGCAGAAGTAGCATCCATCGGAGCAACCTAGGCTTAGCATCCTGCTTTGTTAACAAATACTTCAAAGCTGCATGGTCAGTGTAAACAATAACCTTGGACCCAAGCAGATATGACCTGAATTTGTCAAATGCATACACTATTGCCAATAACTCTTTTTCTGTAGTAGCATAATTCTTTTGTGCTTCATTAAGAATCTTAATGGCATAGTAAATGACATGCAATAATTTATCCTTCCTTTGGCCTAACACTACCCCCACAGCATAATCACTGGCATCACACATAAGTTCAAAAGGTAATGAAAAATTAGGTGCCATGATTATGGGTGCAGTAATCAACTTGTCTTTCAACACATTAAATGCATGCAAGCAGTCATCAGTAAACAGAAATTCTTGATCTTTCCCTAACAGCTTGCACAATAAAGAACATGCAAGAACAATTAAAATGAATTTATAATAAAGAACTGTAGCTAGGGCACACTTCACCTTTGATTCTCCCTTACTAACCTGAATTAACTCTTATAATTAATTATCTCAAAGGTTCGGACAATTCATCTTCTTTAAATTAATTGATTAAACCCTAATGTCTTAGTGTATTTAACCATTTAACTCAATTAGAATTCTAATGTCTTAGTAAGCCTTCTTCAATTAAGCATTAAGTTCAATGAATTAAGAAGTCTGCAATTCATACAAGCCTATGTCTAGATCATGCACAAATTATTATGTTACCTTAGTCAGAATTAGAAACCCAGTATATCTACTATGAGCTCTAACCCTCAAAACCCTATAAGATTGATCAGATCTAATAATCGAATTTTCATTCAAGGTAAAATAAAGAGGTTTGCATTTGTCATTTAACATGACACAACAAACTTTCCTACCGCCCACACTTTTTGAAGAAAAAAGAAAAAAAAAAATTACGGCACGTAAAATGAATCTCTATAACATTACATAATCACTTTTCCTACAACATAACTATTATAAAACCCTAAAATAAAAATGATTGAAATAAAAGAGCTATAAAAACAATTCAAATACCAAAGAGGTTCTAATCAGATGCGTGATCCTAACTGCAAAGAGGACTAGCCAGACAAAGGTAGCATAAAGAAAAAAATGAAATATAAGAAACTAGAATTCATGATGAAAGAAAGAAGAAGAGGAAAAAGTCTTCAGTCTTCAATCTTCATTTTCTCTAAATGCTTGATCTTCAACGGAAAAGCTCCAAAATTTTTCTCAATTGTTACTCTCTAATTCTCTCTACTGTCAAAAAATCCACTAATAAGATTTATTTTTCTCTATTTATACAATGCAATAAATCTCTCCCAAATCTCTCAAGGAATTCTCTTTTAAATAAAATTCCACCTCATTTAAGTGTTGGACATGACCTCTGCGTGATTAGTGTCAGTACCGCGCGAATCCCACAGAGAGAATATATTTCCTAATTTTTCTGCTAGTGACATTAGGTTTATCATAAAAATTATGAGCTTTTGATAGAATTCTCTCCCAAATCTCTCAAGGAATTTCTCTCTCTCCTATAACCGGAGAAAAATATATTTCTGAAGTTAATTAGCTAAACTTTTCGAAAGAGTCGTCCTTTCCTTTGTTCTTTTATTCTCTGTCATTCTAATAAGTTCATTACATACAACACATGTATTTTTATGAACTAATTTTACGAGCTTAATTCATAAAAATACGAAGTTATCATTAAAGTACAAATGCTCCTAGATTTATCACATGCTATGCTAGTTATTAGCCTTAGGCATTATTTTCAATGAGGACACTAACACTTGAGCCATCCAATGGCCCGTCTTCATGTGCTACCCTTTTGCTAGACCCTTTTTCCTTTTGGCTTCTCTTTGACCTGTATTTGTCTTCCTCTTCTTTTTCATTCACAAAGGAAATGAATGATTTTAGACGAGCAGAGTGTGATGAGCCTTCAAGGTTACTGCTAGATGACCTGCTAAAACGGTAGACCATTTGAATAACGTAGCAAAGGAGAGCAATGAAGCATGATATGCCACTTAGAAGGAATAGACCCCAAAAGCTTTTTAGTTCAAGTCGGTCTATGCCTTGCTTTGCACCTTCTGAGCTGCAAGCACTTCTTGTTAACCATTTGTCATGAATTCTCTGGAGATCACCATTCTCTGATAGTTTTAGGATTGCAGTTGACATGTCAATTGCCAGTGGAGAGTCCCTTGGGAAGGCCTGTAATATTTACAACATGTACATGCTTAGTTGCTTTAAACATAAAATATATGAGAATGGATCCTCTCATTGTTTTAAAGTGATGATGTGAAAAATCTCCACCACTTATTTATATACTGAACAATATCACCTAAAAGTTTAAGTCATTAACTGAAGGCCTATCAATGCTTTTATATTTATTTTTATCAATGCTTTTATATATATTTTTTTTAACACGTCATTGGACATGAAGGGTGAAAAATGCACTAGCTCCTTCTACCTATGCTAACAAATTTTACAATATTTAATTACTTATTAATAAAATGGAGACCATGAGATTGAACTTGTGACCACTTTGTTATAAAGGCTGTGATACCATGTTATATAACCATCTCATCTAAAAGTTTAAGCTATTAAGTGAAGATACATCAAAGATTTTATTATATCTCTCTAACATATACATTATATAATTTTGTCAGTAAATTGTGACTATTGATCTGAAGTGCGAAACTAAAAGTATAAAGGTGGACATTGTCTATTAAATGTTGCAGTATGTAGGACTCTCGTGGGACGTGTGAAACTTGTAAAATTATTAGAAGAGGAAGGTGGTTTGATGCCCTTTTACGATTATATAGTGTAAATGTTCTGTCTGTGTTAACTTTTGTGCCTAATCCCCCTTCAATTCCAAGACAAGTGAAATGAAAATTATTTTCTATATGCAATAAACTTTGTTTTGAAGACTTAAAAGATAAAATGAAAATAAGGCATGAGAATTGTAGTGCACGGTATGTACAAAAAGGAATATGCATGTCTGTATGTAGAGTGCTTTCTGATTTTAGAAAGAATTCTTTTAGATTTATTCAAATACCCATCTTTATATAGTACTTTGAAAAATGAATTTGGTATATGTGTAATAATGTGTGACGTTGAGTTTCACAGAAAATAAATGTATCAATGCACTTACAAAGCCCCATCCCATCTTGGTGAACTCTTGACCAACAATACCGAATTCACATCTGGTTGCTAGGAAGAGTTCCATGTATGCACGTTCATCTATTATTGCTGCAACACCACCGTTAGCTGGCCCATCCTTCAAGGCCTTTTCATATTCTGATGGAGAGTTGAGAGGAACAAGCCTTGATCTGATTATGTTGAGCTCCTCAGTCAGATAATTTTCTGCAAATGAACCTCTTAGGTAACCAATGCGGTCGTTGCTTGTTGCTAAGCTTTCAATTCCCTTCACTGGGGAAGAGAGTTGTTCCACTGTGAGGATGGATGTTAAGCTTGCAATATAGCTTGAGTTGAGTATCAAAACCACAAAAAGCCATATGATAAGTACTAAGCGACCAAGAGTGCTCATAGTTTTCTCCTCTGCAAAGAAATAAAGATGTTAAAGATATAAAACTAACCACCAACCATTTTTTTCAAGGGGTAAGGAGCTTGTTCCCCTTGATAAAGAGGTTTCGAGTTTGATCTTTGAAATTGAAAATTTGGTTTTGGGAGAACCGCCCCCGAATATGGGTATGACAGTACTCAAGCTGAACTAGTCGAGTAATTGATAACTGGTTAGAAAACAAAAAGAAATTATTAAAAAAAAAAGAGACATGAAACTAAACCACCAAGTTTCAAGTTTCAAGTTCCAACCACTTACTATGTGCAAAAAACAGGGTTGAAAAGCTAAACCTGCATATAGAAATAATTCAGATGTTAGCAATTGTTAAAAGTTTGTATTCAGTCACATAGTAAAACAATCAAAGAGCATAGATAAGGCATTTTTCTTCAAAAAAAATAAATTGTTTTAGCAGTTAATTACCATATAATTGTCACAAACTGCCTTCTAGGTGGGCCTCTAAACTCATCGTTTAAGCGACGTTCTAAAATCCACACAACAGATCCCACAACTAGGAAAAACATTCCTGTGACAAACCACATCATTGGAGTAAATGGTCTTAGGAAAGCCCAAGCACTGGATTTCAACTTCCTAATAGGTGCCACCACTACCAGCCCAGACTCAATATATGGCTGTGTAAAATCCACTATCTTAGTTCGGTTTGTGGTAATGGTAATGTCCCCCACCACAGCATCGAAGTCCTACATATATAACAAGGTATTTTAATCCAATAAGTTAGGATAAAGAAAGCTATAGAAAAAATAAACATAGATAACGAAAAATTAAAAATATCTAATACTCACACTAACTGTAATCTTGTGGAGAAGTTCTGTGTTTAATGGGTTGGTTTTACCATCACCAAATGGAATAAACTTGTATGGAACTGGATAAGGCAACAAGTCCAATGCAGCAGTAAACACATCAATGCAATAACCACTAAACATTTCAGTACCCTCAATTCTTGACACTAATTCATGGTAACTAATTCTAAGTGGCACCCCAATTCTCAAGTGTCTTCCATTGCTGGCAAAAACCCAACCACGAGGGGTTTGAGTTGTCTGACCAGGCCATATGACACCATATAGTCCTTCACTAGAATTGGAATGATTAGGAGCTTCTCCAGTGTGGAGGCCAGAGGAATCAGACCAATAACCAATTCTCCTAATTCCAGTACCTATCACATTAATGATTTCAAATGATGGATGCAATAAGTTACCATCTTGACCGAACACCATTTGGCCTGTCAAACCAGTTCTGTTGACCTTTAAAATTTCTTGAAGCAACATGCTACCATTAACAAAGACCCCCATAGAATCCAGATGAAGGGGATCCCCTCTTAACATGTTTAGACTTGAATCATTTGAAAATGACAAAGTTCCTCCATTGTTAAAAAATGCATCAAGTGCAGAAGCAAGAACCCAAACAGTGTCATAGGCATATAGACCAAAGGTGTTCAACCCAATAGGGCCCTGATCAGGGTCCCTTTTATGGGTCAGGTTGTTCCACCTAGAAATAAAGTTTGTTTTGATTTGTGAATCTGGTGTATACTTGCGCAAGGTGACAACACCTTGGATGTCATCCATGGCTGAACTTGTGGACAAGGATGGTTCTGAATCTAGTATTGTAGAAAGCCAATCTGTTGCTATCCATACATAACCACTTCCCATCATGCCTAGTGACTCAGCCACATGAAGTACTTCTAGACCAAGAGCAGGGTACATGTGAAGGACTATTACCCTAGATTCCATTAATGCTACCTTAACTAATACACTGTCTATTTCATCATGGTTAACATTATCAGGCCTAAAGGACGCTTTATGTGATATTTTACCACGTTTCTCTGCTAGCTTATCCCCTAATGCAGCTACCCCATTTCGTCCATGATCATCATCAATGAAAATTGCTATTACATCTCTCCATTGAAAGCGGTCAACAATTTCTGCCACAGCAGCCATTTGATACAAATCACTCTGTGTTGTCCTAACAAAATATGGGAACTGCAATGAAGTGAGGGTAGGGTCTGATGCAGCAAATGACAGTAGAGGTACTTGCATCTCATTTGCAATATGTGAAATCACATGAGCCATGACTGAGAACTGAGGACCAATTACAGCCACAGTGTCATTCTCCATCAATCGTAATGCTGTAAAAATAAATCAACGAGGTCTATTAGTGACTAAGGAATATTTTTTTTTTGAAGAAAAATGTGCTAAAGTGTTGAGGGAAAAATCTAGTATGTTTGACAAGGACTTACAGTCAATGATTCCTAGAAATCCATTGGAGAGTTTTGTGTCCTGCATTGAAATATGAAGTTTAGTTCCTTTGAGAACCGTTGCATTGGAATTTATATCATTCACTGCTGCTTCTATGGCAACTTTAGCCACTCTGCCAATGGTTGAATTGAAAGATAAAATTGCCCCAATGTTAACGGTACTTGGTCTTGCAGAAACATTGCTGATTCCTTTTGAAGGAAAGCCATAGAACAACATCACAAGAACAAGAAGCCAAACTTTCTTCATGTTTGTATTGTACTGTAAAGAATAACAAATGGAGACAAAAGTAAATAATCCTTGTAATAATGCAACATGTGTGTCATTGTAAATCAAAAAAGAAAATGTAAGAAAAGAAAGCATAAAAATATCCTTTCTGATCCATGTACTTTCATGGCTCATCTACTTGTAAAAATGAACAATTGGACTATATTAACGTACTATTTCTTTAGAAAAAGTTTATATAAAGCTTTGAGTGAAATTGAAGACCACAAATAAATGTGTCCCTTTGCACTTTCACTAAACGAACAACTTGTCTTCTATATATGGCATGCTTGTGCTGCTTGAGATTGTATGCACAAATGAATCATGGCATGGTATCCTTTTATAGCAAGCGGATCATGATGTGTTTAGTGCTTTCAAAGCTTATTTTTCCCTCTCAAATGCAATTCCTTTTAATTTGAAAGAGTTGCGTCATAATTCACGGAAAAATAAAAGCAATGTTATATTCATAACTAAATACATACATAAATTTGACTATAAAAATAACTGACAAAAACACAGTAGTTATATTTATTTCTTACTATTACATTACTATAATAATTTATGTAAGTTCATGCCCATATATAATTAATAATAAGGGACAAATCAACTTATACCGAAATAAAAATAATAAGTTTTACACTCAATTTTAGTCGTTGATTTTTCTGCATCAGATGATTATAATTTATTGAATTACATTAATTAATTAATTATCAATTCATAATAAATTACTATTGTCAAATGTAAAAAAATTAACAATTAAGATTTGGTGTAAAATTTATTATTGTTTTATAAGTATAAGAAGATTCTTCCCTTAATACTAATTCAAGTATTATGTAATATTAAGTACTTTTTTTTAACTGCAAGAGATGACATAGTTGGTAAGCAAGTTGTGCTCAAGGAATGAACTATTGGGGCTAAAAGGTTTCTGGATTGATTTCTAGACAAAGTAACTTAGGAGCCAGTGGCAAAATCCTTTGCACCATGTACCTAGAAAAAAATATTATTATATATGCTTTTAGTATTTTTTTTTCTTTTTTTCTTTTGGTAAATATGCTTTTAGAATTTATTATAAGGGTTTTAATGTTTCTTATATTGTAGGAGATAAATTTGTCTCCTATACACATATAAAAATGTGTGAGACCCATATGAGAGAAAAGAAAAAAAAAAATACGGACCTCACAAATTTTTATGTATGTATAGGAGATAATTTTTATTCCTTATAATATGATAATTGTTAATCATTATTATAATTATAGACTAGTGTTCTTATTTTTAAAAAGTGCAAGAAGAGAATATAAAGAAGAAACGTAATGGTGAGAAAAGATGGCAACAATTCCCACAACAGATCCTACACAGTTTTTTCGAAATTTGCTTATAATAACTTGTGCTCAAATTCTATTATAATAATCTACTAAAAAATCCATAATAATAATAAGATAAAAAGAAATTTGAAACATTCAATGTGGAATATACGCATAAGGTACCATATCCATCATCCACAGTAGACATGTGATTAGTGAGCACGGCTACCACAAACAAAGAAACAGTGGCACTCATAATGGTGATTGATCTTGACAAAGAAATAATAATTAAGAGTAATTACTCTCTTTTTTTTGTAATCAAGTAATTACTCTTAATTACTGTTATAAAGTTATTGCTTTATAAAATTATTAATTAAGATATGTTTAATACACTTTGAGAGACAATACAAGTAAAAGAGTAGATTATAAGTAATTAATTTCCAATATACTTTTTGTTTTGAACCTTTTATGTTGTGAACTATTTTCTGCATTAAGAAAAATACATGCCAATATTTTGGGGTTTTTAAAAATTATTTTAATATTTATCCTTCAATTATTTTTACACTCTAAACTTATTTTATTAATAAGGTTGATATATTTTTTAACTATATTTTTATATTTATCATATAATTATAAATTAAAAAATCTAATCATAACCAACAAATATCTTGTATTTATTTTATTTATTATTAGTAGTTGATAATGTACTTGATCTATTTATTATGATATAATGTCATTGAAACATATAAGAACTGTCAAGCCTAAGTCAATTTCAGCAAGATTGAAGTTCTGATTTAAATTTTGCAATTTATAAGGTTTGGTATTTCAAAGGGATATCATAATTTCAATTTAAATAATAGGCGTTTCTCAAGTAAGCAACCACTAGGAAAATTCATCATTTTGTCTTGTATTTACCAAAGGCAGCTGCTAGAAAATATTTTCAGTATTCCACATTGAATATTCAGTGCACATTTTCCCTAAATAAAAAAAAAATTGTGTTTAAATTTTTCACTCTTTTCGTAATTCCCTTCCAATTCCTTTCTTTTTTCTTTTCTTTTTTTGAGTAAATATCTTTTTTGGTCTTCAATAAATTTTACGATACCCACTTTTTTTTATTTGTTAGGAACTAAAGTACCCATCGTGAAATTTACTGAAGACCAAAAAAAATATTTACTTTTTTTTTTTTGAACCGGACGATAGTGCAGGACCAAAAAAAAAAAAAAAAAAAAGCGCTCCTGTTGCCACTCGATGGTATCTTTTCCAAGCATAATGGAGGACAGACAATCATTATTTTTAGACGACCCAAATATGCAGGACTTAAAAATATTATGCAGGGTCAACTTCGATATTGCTTTGAAAAATATATATTATTTCTTTAAATTGCAAATTAAATAACAAAATCAAATGTTAAATATTATAACAAAAATTTATTACTAATATTGTTCAATTATAATTTGCATAAGGGTAATTTTCATTATTTAATATATAACTTTTGTTCTGTTTTGGTGACAGAAATGTCTAGTCCAATGGACTAGTATGTTGATCTTAGATCTAGTGCCCTCTCCAAGGTATCTATAAAGAAGATACCCTGGAGTCAAGCAGATCACTATGCACAGTAAAACAATAACGGCTTCGCCAAATGGGGAGTGTGTGAGCACAGTAAAATCATAGCAGTAAGAGAGAGAGCGTAATATACCTGTTAGTTTTACCTCTTATTATAGGGTTGCCCGTGGGTAGTAGATTATGGGCCTTTAGTTCCTATGATGGTGGTCTAGGCCCATCTGTCATGCTGTCATTTTAGGATTGATATCTTTCATGGATATCCTTCCTTAGTTATACTTAATTTAAATTTTAGATTGCCCCTTGTTGGGCCAGTCGATCAATGGGGCCCTTATATGAGTTCATAACAGTTGCCCCTCAGCCAGGCTGCATGGGTGTCTGGGCTGCCGAGGTGAACTTCTTTTTGCATCAATTCGAGGTTTTATCGAATATGCCCGAGTTCTCGTGAACTCTTTATGCATATGTTCTGAGCTTAACACTTTCTCGAATGGGGAATAGTACTTCATTCCCCCTTATATCGTTGGGTTGAGTATGCAAGTAGTACTCCTAGTCATGCATCACAGGCGCAGGCATACAACAGTAAAATCATAAAATATACGATAGAACACAAAAACTATCGAAAATAGCAAAGAGAAGCAAAAAAAAATTTACGAAAAATTTCAAATGACCTCATAACGCTATGGGACCAACTCTCCTAAAGTCTAATCGACCCTACGGACTCAAAAATTAAATAAATTTTTTTGAAAAATGAAATAAAATAGTAAACAAAGGAATTTGGCTAAAATTTTTCTTGATGATTTTTGACCGGGATGACTGCCTCCTTCACGTCACCAAAATTCAGATCGATCAGAGTAAGTTGAACAAGTGCAGAAATACCCGATACATCCTGAAACGACAAAGAAACACTAAAACGGGTTAGTAAACGACAGAATTTGACAAAAATAAGCATCACCTCATGCCCTTTTAGGGCGTGACTTATGCTCAGAAGGTCAAATTTCTTTGCGCATTTAACTCCTGAAACCAATCACTTAGACAAGAAGTCTGACCGATTTCCCAAAATTGCCAAAAAACGTAAACTGTAATGCAAAACAAAAAAAAAACTAAGACAAGATGTAGTAGTAGATGCAAATTTTGATGCAGAAACAAAGGTGCAGAATACGGATGCACAAACGCAGACGGATGCAAACACAGAAACAAGAAAAACACGCAAAAACAGGAAAAGCGCAGACTGCTAAAACAGAAAAGGAAAACAATGCGAAACAGAACACACACAAAATGCAGATACAGAAGAGGAACAGATGCAGAATTGATGCGAACAAGATGCAGACGAAAACGAAGAAGAAAACAAGACGAAACAGAAAACATAAAGCAAAACAGAACCAGAAAAACAACGAAAATAGAAAACTGAAACAGATAAATCAATAAAAACAAAATAATTTTTTTTTACCAAAAACAGAGAACGAAAATTAAAAGGAATTGGAAAACAAAAACAAAAAATTAAAAAATTAAAACTAAAAGAAGAAAAATAAGAAAAAGAGGAAGATCAAGAACAACAAGAAGAACAAGAAAATAGAAAAATTAGACAAAGATAAGGGAAAGAGAAAGAACGCTATTGACGTGCAGAATTCCCCGGCAACGACGCCAAATTTGACGTGCACTGTCGAACCCACGCAAATTACCGAGCTTCAGGTTTGTAGTGATAGGGCAACTCGGATCGTCTCCCAAAGAACCTGTTAGAAATCAAAAACGCTATTGTAAAATAAAATATAAAAGGAAGGGGGATTTTGTTGATTTGAAATTTAAATAAAAAAATAGATTTAACATTTGAATTTAAAAATTAGAATTAAAAAGCAATCAACCTAAGGAATCAAGATTCATTAATTTATTTCGTCATTGGATAAAAAGATATAATTATCAATTCGTGATTAACCCTGTAACACCCCGTTCTAGAACCGGTTTGTTAACATCGCATTATGATATTAAGCGCAGTTACAATCACATTGGTTCAATTAGAAATCCGGATAAATTTTTCTTTTTGAACAAAGCCGAATTTAAAATACCCAATTGCATGATCATAACCATATTACGTTGCGGAATAAAATAAACTAAGCTTAACATCACATT